TTATGAAAGCATTTTGGATCTTTGAACTTCATTAAGTTTTTAAAAATTTGTTCATTGTATTCCGTGGATTAAATGCTGTATAAAACTGTTTGCTGAATTTCCAGTCACAGAACCAGGCATGGTTCTTTACATGAAAAAATGCTCAGAATTCAGTTTGTGGCTAATATAAGACTCATAAGACCAATGACACAAATGCCCCTGTTTTGGGGGGCGTCTTAAAAAAATAAGCATTTTATTTTGGGATACTTTTAGAGTTACAAACAAAGCTGCAAGGATGGTATAGAGAGTTCCCGTGTACTCTTCACTCAGTTTCCCCTAATGTTGATGATTTATAGAATCATTACATCTTTATCAAAGCCAAGAAATTGACATAGATGTATTACTATTGACTAAGCTCCAGACTTTATTCAGATAGTACCATTCTTTTTCTGATGTCCTTTTTTTGTTTCACGATTTACTCTGACATTTCATTTAGGTATCATGTCTCCATAGTTTCCTCTGGTGTGTATCCCAGTCTTTCCTTGTTTTTCATGACCTTGACAATTTTGAAGAATAATATATATATATTATATATATTTTTAATAATAACTTTATTGAGATATTGTGATGGTTAATTTCATGTGTCAACTTGACTGGGGCTATGTGAGGCCCAGATATCTGGTTAAGCATTCTGGGTGTGTCCGTGAGGATGTTTCCGGAAGAGATTATTAGAATCAGTAGACTGAGTAAAGCAGATTGCCCCCCCCCCCCGTGTGGGGGAAACCTCTTCTAATCTGTTGAAGATCTGAAAAGAGCAAAAAGGTAGAGGAAGGGAGACTTCTCTCTCTGTGTGACTGAGTAAGCTGCGACCTCGGTCTCCTGCCCTCGGACTGGGATTTACAGCATCAGCACTCCTGGTTCTCAGGCCTTTGGACTTGGACCAGAACTACACATTTTGTTTACCCATTCATCAGCTGATGGAAATTTGGGTTGTTTCCACTTCTTGGCTGTTATGAATAATGCTGCTGTGAACATCCGTGCACAGGTTTTTGTGTGGATGTATGTTTTCTTTTCTGGTATCACGCTTAGGAGTGGAATTGCCGGGTCAGAGGGCAACTCTGTTTAACATTTTGAGGAACGGCCAAACTGATTTCAGAAGTGACTGCACAGTTTTATATCCTCACCAGCAAAGTGTTAGGGTTCCAGTTTCTCCACATCCACGTCGACACTAGTTACTGTCTGTGTTTTTCATTGTAGGCATCCTTGTGGTTTTCTGTGAAGTGTATCTCACTGTGGTTTTGAGTTTGCGTTTTCCTAATGGCTGAGAATGTTGAGCGTCTTCCCCCCGCCACACTGGCAAATAGTTTGTTTTTGCATATGTTAAAAATTGAAATATGGTTGACATACAACATTATGTTAGTTTCAGGTGTACTAAATAGTTATTTGACATTTGCGTACATTATGAAATGATCACAATAAGTCTAGTAATCATCTGTCCGCATACAAAGTTACAATTAGGTTCATTGCTTGAGGTTCAGGGTAAAACAATTGGGTTATCTATATTCAGAAGTTGATAATAGTTCCTTTAGTTTGCTGTTAGCTTAAAATTTATCATGCTTTTTCCTGTGAGCCAAGATTTGTTCAGCATAAAGGAAGCCAACACTTTAAATCTCTTTTTAAACTACTTTTATCAACAACTCTTGGCGTGATGGTACATGTGTTAATTACATATTCATATTTACTTCATAAAATAATTCTGACTGAACCTCTTACTTTGTTAGCTGTTAATATATGTACATGAAAATTTAAGTGTCACATTTTCATTTTTAATGGGGGAAAAGGTACAATATACTACATTAAAGAAAAATTAAGAACTAAAATTACCTATTATCCTTTCCTCTTTGCATAAAATCTGCATTTCCAAAAATAACTTATATTTTAGATTGGTTGGGATATCTATCCTTCTATTGGTTTTGTAATCATGTTGTACCTCTAAAACAGTATAATCAGTGTTTCCTTATCTCCTGATATAAATATGAAAATAATGGTTTAGTTATTAAATTCTTTTGTCATTTCAGACAGTATGGAGGCAACTTTATGCTATATTGGGTTTTTTTGTTTGTTTTTGGGGTTTTTTTGCGGTACGCAGGCCTCTCACTGTTGTGGCCTCTCCCGTTGTGGAGCACAGGCTCCGGACGCGCAGGCTCAGTGGCCATGACTCATGGGCCCAGCCGCTCCGCGGCATGTGGGATCTTCCCGGACCCGGGGCATGAACCTGTGTCCCCTGCATCGGCAGGCGGACTCTCAACCACTGCGCCACCAAGGAAGCCCTATGCTATATTCTTTTAATGAATTTTCAGTGTCTGTTATCCTATAAAATTCAAGTGATATCTATTAGAATAACATCTACAGCATCTGCTCCTCTCCATTTAAAAAAAAAACAAACCTGACTTTAGAGAACTTAAAAAAATATTTTTTCTAGGTGATTAAGTATTAAATGTTAGAAATACTGCTTTGTCAGCAGTTATTGAGGCAAGAGAAGTAAATGAAACTATTTTTGGAAATCCCGTTTGTTGCTTAAGCACTCTTGCATGTATGAGCATGTATTCACAGGTCATAAGAGGTTCTTCTATGGCAGCTGTAGATGCGGTAACAGCAACAGAGCAATTTCCCTGCTCGTAATTCTGTCCTTTGTAAGAGCTTGTCATGTAATTGTTGACTTTACATATGCATTGAAGTAATAATGTTAATTTTTCTGCTTCAGTAATATGCATGAATAAAATATATTAGAAAAGCAGAAAACCTTTATAGCTCCTGGTAATCAAATTAGAGATTTGACAGGATAATATGGAAATACCACATGCTCACAGAGAAATCTTATTTTTTTAAAAAATAAATTTATTTATTTATTTTTGGCTGCATTGGGTCTTCTTTGCTGCAAGCGGGCTTTCTCTAGTTGCGGTGAGCAGGGGCTACTCTTCGTTGTGGTGCAGGGTCTTCTCATTGTGGTGGCTTCTCTTGTTGCGGAGCACGGACTCTAGGCGCGTGGGCTCAGTAGTTGTGGCTCGCAGGCTCTAGAGCGCAGGCTCAGTTGTTGTGGTGCACGGGCTTAGCTGCTCTGCAGCCTGTGGGATCTTCCTGGACCAAGGCTCGAACCCATGTCCCCTGCATTGGCAGGTGGATTCTTAACCACAGCGCCACCAGGGAAGTCCCTGAGAGAAATCTTTTGAAGTGATAACAACCTAAGATGATTAACAGAGAAAGATGTTTTGATGAGAGGAAATCTTTTTTTAGATTTAAGGAATATACAGTTGCAAAATGTTTAGTAAACTATAATTTTTTTCTTTTTAGTAAACTATAAGTTTTTACTTATGTGTTAATATTTTACTTTTGCAAAAGTTTTGCTTTTGGTAATTTTTTCCTTTGAATTGTATTTCACTCTGATAATCTAACAACAAGCTTCCTATTTAATGTATATTTGATGCATTTGTTTTTGCAGGCTATTTCATGGGGAGCAAGTAGTGACTTTTGTTTAGAAAATCAAATGATATTATGACATTTAAAAAATATTTTGTGAGCCCTGACCAATATCTGTAACTTGAATAGTCTATCAAAATTTTCCTGTCAAATTTGTAGCTATATTGAAGTTTTCAAGCTGGGAGGATGATTTTAAAAGTGGTAATAAATACAACTACCTGAATAACCGTGATTTTTCTCAGGTCTAGATAAGCCTTTTTTACCTCTTTTTAAAAATATTTATTTATTTATTTATTCATACATACATACGTACATCTTTATTGGAGTATACTTGCTTTACAGTGTTGTGTTAGTTTCTGCTTTATAACAAAGTGAATCAGTTATACATATACATATATCCCCATAGCTCCTCCCTCTTGCGTGTCCCTCCCACCCTCCCTATCCCACCCCTCTAGGTGGTCACAAAGCACCGAGCTGATCTCCCTGTGCTATGCAGCTGCTTCCCACTAGCTAGCTATTTTACATTTGGTAGTGTATATATGTCCATGCCACTCTCTCACTTCGTCCCAGCTTACCCTTCCGCCTCCCTGTGTCCTCAAGTCCATTCTCTACGTCTGCGTCTTTATTCCTGTCCTGCCCCTAGGTTCTTCAGAACTTTTTTTGGTTTTTTTTAGATTTCATATATATGTGTTAGCATACGGTATTTGTTTTTCTCTCTCTGACTTACTTCACTCTGTATGACTCTCTAGGTCCATCCACCTCACTACAAATAACTCAATTTCGTTTCTTTTTATGGCTGAGTAATATTCCATTGTATATAGGTGCCACATCTTTATCCATTCATCTGTCGATGGACACTTAGGTTGCTTCCATGTCCTGTAAGCCTTTTTTAAAATAGACATTTCTTTTCCAAGCACACACCCAGCTATTATCAAAGGTAAATGCCATGAGACTTCAAGGTCCATGAATCTTATTTGCCCCTTGCTCTACAGGAGTTTCTTGTATTTAAATTTTAACTAGTCTTTAGAACAGTTTCAATAAAGGTAAGTTACTTAATCCTGATGTGAATGTATATTATTTTAGGTTCTCATATGCAGTGGCTACTTTAAAAATTTGAAGGTTATTTCAGGCATTGGTTTGCATGGTGTTGTCTTTGAAAATCCCTTGTATAAAATTACCTCATATTAACTCTTTACAGATTCAGAAACTAGCTCTTGGTCTGAATATTGCATTGTACTCTTCTTTTTTTTCTTGAAAAATTAGGAAATACCTATAAAGTGTTTTATGTTACAAGGATTTACTGCCTAACATTGTTCCTTCCCCAGATTAGCCTCTCAATAAATGTCTACAAACACAGCCTTATTTTTTAGGTTACACAAAACCAAGATGGTAGAGAGTCCAAGTATATACATATATAGATTTTCCCAAAAGCCATCTAGTTTCTTAATACCACCTTTACATTTTGAATATTCCTAACTTTATATATATCATCACTGTGAGGGTGAGGTGGCCTTTATTTATTCACTTTTCTCCTCTTTCAACAGGGGGAAATGCAGTGTTGCCCTTCTGAATGAGACAGAGTCTGTATTGTCATATCTTGATAAAGAGGTAATTCACAATTATACTTGTTTTTGGTTTTCCCTCTATTTCATAAGAAGCCCATACTTTTGTATTATTTCTTCTTCTAACAAATTATTGTACAATGATAGCAGTATTATAGTAAAAGTATAATGACTGGACTGCATTCAGTTAATTTTATTTTTCTGGTTAACTGAGATAAAAGTTGGCAAAAACTCCCATGTCTGTCTGTCTCTTTTGCTTGGTAATGAAAAGCTTGTGAAGTATAGCACGTGATTTAGTTGGTAGTGGAAGAACTATTTTTGGCTTTATGAAATAAATGACTTCAGTATATTTGGTCCTCCTCCCTTTTTTTTCTTTTTAAATAAATAGCATTTCTTTTAGACTGTTTGCAGATGAGATTTTACCATTGGTGGTCTGCTTTCTTCCCTGGAATCCTAATAAACTTTGTCAACTAAAAATATTTTTTTCTGTAAACTTCAAGAAACATTTTAAACATTTTTAACAAGTTGAATTAGAGCAAGCACTTCATTGAAGGGAGGAAATTCTTGTAAGCAAGGCTATTCCACATTTTGTAGTTTTATGTGACTTTTATCATTTGTGTTGTGGAGAAAATATTTTACTATTGATAATGTTTCAGTATTTAAGCTTTATAATTACATAGTGTTTGTTTTCCCAAAATCTTTATTACACATAGGTTTTTTTTTTTTTTTTTACAGAATTAAAGGGACATTTTTTCTTTTTTTTTGTTTGTTTGCGGTACGCGGGCCTCTCACTGTTGTGGCCTCTCCCATTGCGGAGCACAGGCTCCAGACGCGCAGGCTCAGTGGCCATGGCTCACGGGCCCAGCCGCTGCGTGGCACGTGGGATCTTCCCAGACCGGGGCACGAACCCGTGTCCCCTGCATCGGCAGGTGGACTCTCAACCACTGTGCCACCAGGGAAGCCCTACTCTGTAGTTTTATGGTTTCATTATTGTGACATTGGATTTATTGCTTTATAAAAAGTAGAAGGAATTATGTTTACCTAGGTATTTTCTGTCTTTTCTTTTTTTTCCAGGATACTTTTTTCTACTCATTGGTCTATGATCCCTCAGTGAAAACACTGTTAGCTGACAAAGGTGAAATCAGAGTGGGACCTAGATATCAAGCAGACATTCCAGAAATGCTCTTAGAAGGTATGTTTTCCTTTGGGTTGCAAATCCTATGAAAACAAATGTACCTTGAAACTCAAATATTTTCCTCATATGGAAGAAACAACTTTCAGGCTAAAGTTTAAAAGTAACGGGCTCTTCCAACTTTAGAAATACAACAAACGGCAATGAAAAATAATTTAATCGATCAGTTATTCATTTTTTATTTCACACTTTCATGAGTTTTCTGCCTGTGTTTTTCTTTTAAATACAACTTTAAGAATGTTAGTGTTGTTGAACTTGTGTTTCAATGTGACACGCTCACGCCTTGAGATCCTGAGTGCCTTCATGTCATCTCTCTATGGTAGCCTTGCAATCTAGTGAACATTTACATTTTGGTGGGAATTTTGGCAGATCTGCGTAGTTTCTATACCAGAGAGATTCAGAGCTTTGCATTTTAAACACAGATCTTCCTAGCAAGACTTTTCTTTCTTCTGTCATAATTATATACTTTTAAAACCTTTATTTTCTGATTTCAAAAGTAAGACATTCTTACCATTAAAAAATAAAACACAAAGAAACGTGTAATATAGAAAATGAACACCACCCCCTTTCCTTCTTTCCAAACCCATATTTAATTACTAATATTGTTCAGGGTATTTTTTTTTTTTTTTTTTTTTGGTACAGTCTCTGGCTCATAACCCATTCAGGTGTGGTCTTTGTGGGATGGCAAGTTGCACGTTGCTCTGCAGTTGCTTCTTTCAGTTAATAGTGTATCTTTAGCATCTTTCCTGATGAGCAGAGTGGCTTTATTCTTTTCAGTGACTGTAGAGTTCTTAAGTCTGCATGGATGTGCCACAATTTATTTCCTTTACCAGTACCCTATTGACAGACTTTCAGGTGTTTACATTTTTTGATATTACAAATGATGCTTCTAGAAAAGCTTTACATATACTTACGCTGTGTAAATATTTTTCAAGCATAGCTCCCTGGAAGATATTGAAAATGCTTCTTTGCCCTTCAAAAAGGCTGTTAATTTTCATAGGAGTGAACCAAATGCTTCCACCACTAGATTATTAAAGAACCCCCCTTGCCCATTTTGTGATACTGTTGTCTTGGCTTTCATTTTTTTTGTTGTTTTTTTTTCTTTTTCTTTAATTTTTAAAAGTTCCGTTACTGCTCTTCTGTAAATTTCTTGTGTATTTTCTATTTGGTTATTTATATGTATTGGCAAGAGTATTTTGCATATTAAAGGTAAACAAATATAAAAGTATTTGCCCTTTGTCTGCCTCCTCACTTAAAAAATGTTAATGATTTTAAATTTGTTTTATTTATTTTTGTTATACAGAAATTGAGAATTTTTGTCATACAGAAGTTTAGAATTTATCCCTTAAGGTTTATATAATTAGCATTCTTTACCTTGCCTTACCTATAGGAAGTATATGCAGAAAAGTTAAATCAACTCAGGATAGAGTTGTGTTGTCAGTGTCAGTGGTGGGTAGGTGAGGTGGCTGTGAATAATAACAGGTTGCAGACTTCTGCATTTTCATGAATTCATTACAAGGAAAGGTCAGTCAGTAACGACTAAGCTTTGAGAACAGAATGCCACGTCTGCACTCATCTGTGTTTAGAAGTTTTTTTTGAAGAAATTGTAAGTAGTGACTCGGTTTATTATAGGCTGAGAGATTGCGTTTATTAGCATTCTGTTCTGTACAAACCATCTTTTCTTCCAGAAATAATTTTGGATGTTTTATAGTCCGTAATGTTTGATCTTAGACTTTTATCACTACATGTAAGTGTTCACTAAATATTTATTGTTTTATTTTTAAAAACACTTGATTTTTAAGTTTTACAAATAGTGCTGCATTGTATCCTTTATATAATGCATAATTTTGTACTCTGGATATAACTGGAAAATATGTTCCCAGAAATGAAATTACTAAGTCATAAGGCATGTGTTTCTGAAATTTTATACAAAATGGTAATTGTCTTCCAAGTAATTATTTACAGGTGTCTTTTTTCCTTGTTTTAATTAAGGTATAATTTATATGTAGTACATTTCACCCTCTTTTGTGACAGTTCTTTGAGTTTGGGGCAGATGTATACACTCTTAGTGAGATAGTTCAGCAAGTCCATCTATGCACAGGTCAAAAGCCAGGAGTGACCCTGGTGCTCATGTGTGCTTGTCGCCTGACCCAAGTTCTACATCCCCTAAGCAGCCCTTTGTTAACTCCTCCCTGAACTTTGATCTCTCCCCTTGTCAAACTCTGCAGACTGTGTCGTTCATGTAATCTTGTGTGCTATTTTTATTATTTGACTTTTAAAATTTTGGACTGCCTGAGCTGTTGATTGTGTGGTCCTCTCTCTCTTTTTCATAAGAAAAAAATTTATATATATATATAAATATATTTTATTGAAGTATAGTTGATTTACAATGTTGTGCTTTTTAATTTTTTTGATTTTTAAATTTATATATATATTTTATTGAAGTATTTTAATTTATTTTTTAATTTTAATTTATTTATTTTTATTTTGGGTGCGCTGTGGCTTGCACGATCTCAGTTCCCTGACCAGGGATTGAACCTGGGCCATGGCAGTGAAAGCTCCAAGTCCTAACCACTAGACCACCGGGGAACTCCCTAATTTATTTTTTTTATGTTTGGTTCTTTCTTGAGCACTGACATAAGCCTAGGTGTATAGAAAGCCTAGAAAATTTTGTGTATTGCTCATGTAAAGATAAATGCTGAACCAAGTAATAAAGTTGGGATATTTCAAGTAATGGGGGCGCATAAAAATCAGATCATGGAATCTCATGAGTTCCCACTTATCTGCAAAACTTTTACGTATGATATTGCCCCTGAAAAGCATAAAGCTGGTTAGAGTTAGTAATTTGGAAAGCATATCTACCTAGCTTAGAATTTACAAAATTATTTTAGGAAACGAAATCATATATAAAATGCAATAATTTATTCTACAGTACTTCTCAATAAGGATTTGAATTCTTGAGGGTAAGAACCTTGAGGTTCTTCTTCCAGGTAAAAGGAAAGATTCTTAACAGCTTGTGGCATTTGGGCAGTTACACCAGTTGTGACTAAATATTCATTAATATAATAGATCTTATAATTCATTAACAAGTATTAATTGCCTTTAACATTGCGTTTCTCTTAGTAGTCTTCCGGGTGGGTGGTTTACAAACTTTATTTAGGCAGTAGAACCCTTTCTTTTTACGCAGTATGACCTTAAATAAGAAAGTCAGGTTGTTGTGGGTGAAGTGGAAGAGAAGGCCCTGTTGAGTCTCTTGAGGTACCTTACTGAACCTTAGGATTCAGAGAATCAACTTGAAGGCCACTGTGCCGATTAGAATCCTGTCTCTTCATTGCACAGTCAAAACCCCCAGTCCTTGCAGTTAGAAGCGCTTATGATGAAGTCCCTTTGTAACATAGTATAACGAAGGGGCTCTACTGTTTTCCCTTTGCCTTTTCCCATTTTTTAAATCTTAAAATTTATTTTATTGCAAACAGTATGAATTGTGATAGAAAATGTAATTATATTGGAAACAAAAAGTAGTAGTCCCTCAGATCATCCCTTCGAACCCACTATTAACCACTGTTATTAATTTAACATGTTCTCCCAGACTGTTTGTTATATAAATATGTATAGAGATCCACGAAATTATGTTCTGTAGTATTCCATTGTGTGATAGATCCACGTTTATTTTATCTATTTATGTGTTTAATGGTCGGGTAAGTTTCCCCTCAGTTGTTCTTTAAAATTTCTTGGTTGTGGCAGGGTTCTCATGTCGATGAGATTTTTTTTTCTTACTGTCAAAGTTTATCATCAATTTGTCAATGTCTTCCTTTCCAGATTTCATTAGGATTCTGATTGAAATTGTATTAATATTAAGATTACTTTGGGAGGTGATTGATTATTTTATAATATTGGGTCTGCTTCTGAGGTTTCTGTTCTATTCCCCTGGTCTGTCTGTCTGTTCATGCTCTAGTAACCCATGTTTTAATTATAGAGGCTTTGTAGTATGTGTTAATATCTGGTGAGGCTAGTTCCCCTCTTATTTTTCCAAGCTTGACTAACACCAGAAAAAAAAAATCTTCCTTCCTGTTTTTATTGGGGATGCAGTTAATTTTTAAGTTAGACAGACATATTGATGATTTTGAAACATCCTATCCAGACACAAGGGATTCTTTCTCTTTGTTCAAGGCTACTTTTGGGTCTTGTGGAAGTTTTTTGTTTGTTTGTTTTGTTTTAATACAGATTTTATATATTTCTTGTTAAGTTTATTTTATTTAATTATTTTTTTTCTGGCTGCTTTGGGTCTTAGTTGCTGTGTGCAGGCTTTCTTTAGTTGCGACCAGCAAGGACTACTCTTTGTTGTGCGTGGGCTTCTCATTGTGGTGGCTTCTCGTTGCAGAGCACAGGCTCTAGGTGCACGGGCTTCAGTAGTTGCAGCACGTGGGCTCAGTAGTTGTGGCACGCGGGCTCTAGAACGCAGGCTCAGTAGTTGTGCTACATGGGCTTAGTTGCTCCGCGGCATATGGGATCCTCCCAGGATCGTACCCGTGTCCCCTGCACTGGCGGGCGGATTCTTAACCACTGCACCACCAGGGAAATCCCAAGTTTATAACTTGTTAGCTTTATTTATACGTGTTCATCTTTAGCAATGAAAAACATTGTGTTTTTCAACATAAATGAAAGTCACTTTGGGCTCTTATTTCAACTTAAAGCATTTAGCGTATCCAAAATGTTTTTTTCACTTGTAATCAAGAAACCAACTAGATGCAAGATTTAAAGAACCCCTTCTTCTAATTAGTATATTTTCTGGGAAGAAGGAGTAGGGTGGCAGATAGGTACTCCAGCAGTTAAACCACACTTGAAAAACACAGACACTGCCATCATAGAAACTTTCATACACAGCCAGTACCTGTTTGCAGGGGAATTAAATCATAGAAAACATCATATTCAAGAACAGATATTTAGGACTTGATGCAGTCTGTGCTTACTAACCCTTTTGATACTCTTGAGTGGGTACG